TCCTATCCGTGTACTTAAAGCGGCGATGTCTACTTTGGACGTATTAAGTAAGGAAGTCTGAGAACGACCAAGTGACTATAGATATATTCCTAGTGCTACTTGTATATATGAAAGGTGTCTACTTATTGTTGTTATAATACTTAACCGTAATGTTGTTTATTTACTAGAGGAGCATTGAATTAAATATTATACAACAACTATATTAAATCTCCGAATAAATAGAAAGTATAATAAATCAATGAAATCTTTTATTATTAATATCCTAACAAAATAGTACTACTTAAAATGATATTATTAATAACTTTAAAATATTTATAACATAACTATCGTGTACACTAAAAAAGAGAATGAGAGAAATTTAATTAGCTTTAAAACCAGTTATAAATCAAATAAAAACATTAACTTAATGAGTTAATCACTCAATATATTTAAAGAGCACAATTATTTGTAAAAACACGAACAAATAAGCAAAAAATACTGAGTAAATGTTTGGTAAAAAAAAAAAGAAAATGTTACTAAAACAATTAAACAATTATTAAAACAATTTATTACTGAAATTCAAATTTACTTCTTTATCCTTCGGGACATGTTTAAATTATTTTTATTTAATTTCGCGACTTATTACTGTCCATTAATAAAGCATAAAAAATGATTTCTAATAAAAAAAAATGATACTTCGAACTTTACTCACCTATAGCTATGGGTTTACAAAGATTTCCGCGTAAAAACCTCTTTTCCAGAACTTCAAGAATAGCAGAAAAAGAATTAACTATAAAAGAATGAACTTTTACCTTTTCAATGCTTATCTACGGCATTTTAAAACATAATCTACTTAACTTTGTTTAGATTAAAAAAAATAATAGTATAACAATGTGTATTTTACTTTCCCACGCAACTTCCTTTTGTTTTTTTAATAATTAACCACAATGGTTAGTTAATGATGTACTTAGAAGTGGAATTATGTGATTTACAAACATTCTCATTATTTTCAGGATTACATGTGAATTAAGCATTCAAGGAAGGTTCTTAATAACTTAGAATATGCATGTATAAGTATGACTTCATATTTATTTAATACTAAATTTTGTCCGCGACTTCGTCGAGGTCACTTTTTTCTAGAAGGAATCTTGAAGTAGTGGTTTGGAGACACCGCGGAGGACGGATCACTCCGCAACACTGCTATGTTTTCCACATTTTCTCTTTATTAATGTTTACTGTATTCAATGACCTAATAAGAGTTTTTAGCAAATCACTACTTACAATATAGTGTTTAATTTTTAACATTTAAAACAAATAACCGAGTAAATGAGAGCGTCGGTGGCTCAGTGGTTTAAGCATTTGACTTGTAATCTACAGGTCTTGGGTTTAAATCCCGCCGTACCAATGTGATTTACGATTTTTCGAATATTCATATATACATAATTTACTCGACGTTTTTACGGTGAAGGAAAACATTGTGATGCAACCTGCACATATCGGCGAAGAAATTCAAAGATTTGTGTGAAGTCAACCAACCCGCAGTGGGCCAGCGTGGTTGACTATGGCCTAGTCACCCTAATTTAGGGTAGGCTCCGAGCCCCTCGGTGGGGACGTATAGTGAGCTGGTATTGATGAACCGAGTAAAAGTAGATTTTATCTTCTTCTTTCCCTTGTAAACAAAGTAATATTGAATTACCAATAGGCAATTCATATCCTAAATAATTTGACACATTTGGTCGATTCTACGAATATCTTAGTCACTTTTTCTATGGAGGCTTGTCCTTGCAGAATGTGGACACAGTATATGCGAGGTATTCTTCCAGGCTATCGGCCGTCATATCTGAATTTCTTTACTTGCACATATCATAAAAAATGAATATTTATTTTGCATTCCTTGTCTCTAAACAAGAATGATGTCATAGGTTGGCAAATAAATATTTCCGGTTACATGGAATACAAAAGAATTGTTACTTTTACTGATAAGATAAATAACAATGTTTAAATCTGTAAATCTTCTAGCACCTGCTGAATAGATATTCCTCGTTATGTTAATGACTAGCTGTTACTCGCGATTTCGTCCACGTTAAACTAAAAAATGTAGCTTATGTTATTCAACGATAACGTAGCTTTTTAATTGTGAAAGAATTTTTAAATGCGGCCCAGCTGTTTTTTAGTTATTTCAATACATTTTACCTCTTTATAGTGTTAGTAGTTAGTATAGAAGTATAGATTTTATAATATACACAAAATGTGTTAGATATCGTACTTCTAAAGCTTGACTGTTACGATTGAAATGGGGATTTGATTATGATTGTAAAATTTTCTTTTATCAAAATAAATAATCAAAATTATTTCTTTGCTAGCTTCTGAGACTCCTTTCGCGTGGAATAAAAAGTAGTCTATGTACTCCAGACTATCCTCCTCAATTATGCCTTTCATCGAGATCCGTTCACCTGTTTAAATTGCAAACTCTAACAAACATCCTTACATCTTAGCTTTCGCATTTATAATATTAGTTAGATAGTTATCTTGCTGCTAAATAGAGGGTTGGCAAAGAACTATTTATCAATATTAAAAAACTAAATGACAATTCCAATCCATTGAGGTGTGTTAATCAGGCGAGTTTTATCATTCTTTTTTTTATTTTTAGTACTGTTATGTAGGGGTGTTAATGAAACAGCGGTTGGTACTGGACTGTTTTATTATTGACTAGCCGTTCCCGTGCGACTTCATCCGCATGAAATTATGACAATTTTCTTTTATTGTTTACATTTGTCAAATTATCAATTGCAAATGTCAAAATGACATGACATGATGACAAACTATGGCAATCTTGCTTCCTTGATGTTGGCAGCAACTTATGGTCTCTTTCCCACATTAGGGTTTTTATCCAAAATATTTACCCCCTAAGTTGAATGGCGTGAAAATATATAGCCTAAAGCGTGACTTAAGTGTAAGGCTTTTTATTAAGAAAGGCATTATTCAAAAATATGCTGTAATTTTTGACATCTTAGGCAACAAAGAAGTGTGTGTTTACGCTTTATTTTAATAGTATAGAAGCGTAGATAATATTGACAGTACATTATTATTGGTATACCCTCATATTTAACACAACTACATATTTAATTATCTATAGAATCTTTTTAAGCTGTCAAGCATTCCCTAGCCTGGCCAAGTTATACATGTGACTTAGTTACTATCTGATTCCTTATCAAGGGTTAACCACAACAATGGTGTTAGCGATAATCTGTCGATTGGTAACAGGTTGGTCCGTAGTTAGGAAGGGCCTTATGCGTCAACTTCCTGGGCATTTAAATGTTGCCACAAAAACGGAGCAAGTTTAATCCGGGATTATCTATAGATATTATCATTGTTAACAAGTTTTGTATGAAAGTTTGTCTGTCACTTTTTTATATATTATGCGGAATAGATGCATTCCTTTGCGTGTAAATAATTCGACCTGTGGTTTCAATTATTTTAAAAAATGTAATTTTGCTAAAGACTTACAGCAAAATGAACCCGGTATAAAGCTAAATTTAGGAATAAACTGAGTATAAGCAAATATTAGTACAGATGTTAAGTTTATTCCTAAGTTTAACTATACTGTTTATTTGTAAGGCTATTAAGGTAAAAAGTATAATGTAAAGATGAAATTAATGTTTGTTTAGTATTTGCAATATTAATATTTTGTCCTAAAATTAAATTAATTGGAAACAATCATACGCAGATAGGTACTTTTGCTTAAAATTAGACGATGTTCAACATTTAACCAGATTACAGCTTCGTCATTACAGCATTGCTGTGTAAACACCTTTACATGTGTATTTAAATTAACACATTCACTGCGTAACAGGCCGATATCGGCCTGCCGCGGTAGCTGGTGCCGACGAAGAGAACTATGTCCCTCTCGCTAGTGCGAAACGATTATCTCAGGTGTATAGATTATGTTTCCACAAAGTAGTAGCAATTTAATCTATCCTAATTTTGGTGGGTCTAGAAAGACCTGCCACGCACTGGTGGAAATATCATTGGGGGCGCATTTTGGCCCGCCGTAACAGATGAAGAATCATTTTACTCGCCGCAGTAAACGTGTTAATTCGAGACAATTGTAATGCGGAATGCACACGCAGTCGTTAGCCGCGGCGTTTGGCACCGGCGGGCGACGGGTGACCGGCGGGGGGCGACGGGGTCGGCGGGAGTCGGTGGGTCTGTGGGGTCCATTAGACGACATTTACATGCGTTCCGACCCCCACGTCACTTCAAATGATTCGATTAGTCGAACCGACGCTTGCTGTTTTCCCGCTTGCAATTTAGTGTTTTAGAATTGTCATTTGTTAATAAATGTATAACATATTGTAATAACAATCAATTTATTTTTATATATGTACGTTATAATTTAAGTATACTAATATTATAAATCCGAAAGTTTATATGGATGGATGGATGTTTGCTAGAATTTGTAGCCTAAACTGCTGAACGGATTCCAATGAAATTTGGTATAGATGTAGAGGATAGTCTGGAAGAACACATAGGCTTATCATTTTTGTTTTATTTAATTTCACGAGGACGGAGTCACGGACGAAAGCTAGTCATAAATAACATTTTGTTTTTTTTTTTTTTTATTTAAATCGTTAAACTATGCCAAACACGGTAAGTTCAGTTTATTAGTACATTATAATTTCAAACCCATTAGTACGAAATTATAACTAAAAGTCAAGTGTTTATCGTCGTTTCCTTCAGTAAAATGTTCGCTCGCCGCACAAAGAAAACAGTATAAAAGCGTCCATTAGGCGCCCAGTGAGGTGTAAGGTTGACCTCCTCCAGCTCACAGATAAAACGTCCCCAATCTAAACGCATCCAATTACCGATGTCGACGGTACAACAATGAATGTAGCAAATTACCGCTTTTTTAAGCGTTTCAAAAGCCATTGTCGAATGGTTTGCACCGAAACAAACGGCAACAATAAACATTGAAAAGGAAAGTGTAGTATTTTACGATGTGAGCAAATATAAAGGGCGAAATGGTAATAGGTGTTAATGTGGCGAAATCAGGGAGCAATCTGAATAGAGTTCGCGCCCCGGGTGCTCCGGGCACGGAGCTCCGCACGTTCGTTAGCTCAATATTTTTATAACAAATCATCGAATCGGCAATCGTTTTGTTTGAATTGTAACGAACTATTGAATACAACAAACTCTCAGGATAATTTACGCCTCAATAAATCGGAAGTAAACACGATTTCAAGAAAAGGACCTTTTTATCGCACATTAAGCATTGACTTATTAACTTTCGCCCGCGACTCCGTCCGCGTAAAAAAAAAACAAACGTGAGTAGCCTATGTGTTCTTCGAGACTATCCTCTACATCTATGCCAAATTTTATACAGATCCGTTCAGTCGTTTATGCTACAAACTCTAACAAACATGCATCCATCCATACATCTAAACTTTCGCATTTATAATATTAGTATGATTTCTCTGCATATTTAAGTTACGTATTTACATTATACATACATACGGATAGATGTAAAGTGACATAAAATTATTATAATTTTAACCCTTGTTGGCTTCTAATAAACTATTCTTGTTTGCATGCATAAGAGCGTACATCTGAAACTAAACTATCGCACGACTATTTAGACTCGCTTTGAGCTTATATGGAGATGCGCACACTACTCGATTTTTAGTTGTACAAAACAGTTGAATTGGATCTAAAACAATCGACAATCGCACAACTGTGGTGCGACAGTTTAGTCAAAGGTGTGCGCTCTAAGAAGCATTTAAAGGAAGATAACGAAACGCATATAATAAAATCTTACTAATATTATAAATGCGAAAGTTTAGATGGATGGATGTATGGATGGATGGATGGATGAATGGATGTTCGTTAGAGTTTGTAGCCTAAACGGCTGACCGGATGTCTATGAAATTTGGCATAGACGTAGAGAATAGTCTGGAAGAAGACATAGGCTACTCACGTTTGTTTTTTGAACTCCACCCGGACGGAGTCGCGGGCGAAAGCTAGTCTCTAATAATTATAAGATTAAAATTATCAGACACATTGTTATTTTCATCCACATTTTAATTTACAATACGTTTAGTTTTAACACTATCTTCTTTCTCTGCCGACCATAAAACGAGTAAACAGTAACATAATATCAGGCTAGTAAGTACATTGACGCAATATAGTCGGTCAACACTCAACAAGGGGCGAGTCTTACGCCAGTCCTGCGCCAGTAAACACCAGCAAAACAAACAAACTCAAGTGGCAGACCGCCCATAGATTCGCACTTCACGGCAACGTTCGAGGAAATAGGGCAAACGATACTCACCACGTAAATATGTTTGTTTTACCAATGAAAGATGTGAGCGTTTATAAATATGTGCTATGTAATTATTACTTTTAATTTTTGTTTACGTTAATTTATAGACATGAAATATGTTTTATAAATGAGTAGGTATCTGTTCAAATAAAACTTTTTTTAAATCCTTCAGGGATTCAAGAAGCAAACCTAGCTCCTAGTAGTGGCCCCAGTGGTTGAGAAAATAAGGAGTAAAAGGTTAGCGTGGTATAGGCATGTTATGAGAAAGGATGAATCGCATGTAACAAGACGGACGTTAGATATAAATGTGGAGGGGTACATCAGTAGAAGTAGACCTAGAAAGAGATGGATGGACGTGAAAGGTCACATGATCAAGAAGGGAGTGATGACTGAGATGACGGATGATAGAGTGCTTTGGAGGACGAAAACCTGGTACGCCGACCCTACGGGAGTAGGATAAGGCAGCGGAGATGATGATGACTAAACAGTTATAATAATAAAACCAGTCATAAAATCATTTGGAAATCAAACTTATTCGATACAAACACTTCCTACAATAATTGAAACATTTTAAAATAGAAATCGCGGGTTACATTTACGTTTCAATGATTTCAGAACAATATGGCGTTCGTCGCGGGCTCAAGTAAATGTAGAGACGCGGTCGAGCGTCAATCGCATTCGAAGTTACTGGTGTATGCACATTTAATTGTGACTAGGGGTGACGTCCACAGGAACCCTAATCGACAAATTGTTTTGACATCAACGAATATTATCAAAGGATAAATCCGGAAGTCAATTTTTGCTGGAATTCAAATTTTATTTTAAAGTGTTCTATTTTTGAATGATTGTAATGCGTGGTTTACATTCGACCAGTACAGTTTAAAGTTTTAAAGGCAGTAATAGATTGTATGGACTCACTGGTACCAGATCAACTGTAATAGCCAAGTGTGAACCGCGCATAATATCGACACCAAGGGTACATCTAAGGCTTCATTCACATGTACGTAAATCGGAAACATAAATTATATACGATCAAGTCTTTGTTCTTCTTATTATTGTGTACAAATTGACAGAGCAAATCTATACATTGAATTTTAGTAATTTTCTGCCAACAGTAGTCGTTAGCGGAAAGCAATAAGAGATACTTGACTTGACGCAAGAATATAATATTAGTTTGAAAAAATTACGTTGCTTCTTGTAAAAATGGCCTTTAGATATTTTGTCTTTCTGAGTCTTTAAATTATTTAAAACTAGCTTTCGCCCGGGACTTCGTCCACGTGGAATAAAAAAAACAAAAGTGAGTAGTTATGTGTTCTTCCAGACTATCCTCTACATCTTATACCAAATTTAAACGAAATCCGTTCAGCCGTTTGGCGTACAAACTCTAACAAACATCCATCCATCCATACGCATCTAATACGCATTTATAATATTATGATTGTGTTTCGTTTATCAAAATAATTATTAAATGCTGCATCAAGCAAACAAACCGTATTACTATAAAAAGTTAATATTGCTTTTAATAACGAATTTGCTTACAAAAGAAAGTGCGTCATAAGACATGACCTGATTTCGCAATTAAAAACAAACCACATGTATTGAAATTTGATTACTAACAACAATGTATAATTAAAAAGACAATTTTGTAAACGATATTATTTTTTTTTTTGTCGATCGATGCTATAGTAAATCAATACATAAAAATCTATCTATACATATAATATGTGACTGTCTGTTTGTAATAATAAATGAAAAATTTGAGATTTCGGGAAGATGGTGTATTTGCGTTGCTGTAACGAAAGTCGCATTTAAAAATTTTTTGTCTGTTTGTCTGTCTAACCGTAAGCCGCCTTTGTTCCGGAATTTCGACCAGACTTTCATTGTAGCTGGCATAGGATAGGCTACTTTTTCTTCTTCATATTGCGTGGAAGAAGTCGCGGGAAACAGCTAGTATCAAATAAATCGTATTATAATGCTCTCACTGATTGCATTTGATAAGTGTTTTTACAACAACGGACCACCGAGTGTTAAAAAAATGTTCAACTGTGTTGTTATTTTTTCAAACAAACTCGATCTTTATATGAGTGGATCGATCCATTTCATTCGAATAACAGGACGTGTTATGTTTGTTTAATGTCATTATTCTTGGAAGATAAAATATTTTATATTTAGATTGAACAGTAGCGAGATACTGGCTGTAATTTTTAGACCTTTATTGCACTAAGCGATTAGTCGCACGACGCTTACCGCCGGCTACTTCTGTTCACATACGCCGTTTCAGTAACTAGTACTTACATGAGTAGTAGCGCTAGTGGAAATGGGGATTTACTGAATAAATCTAGACCCTCTCGCTAACATTATTGTATATTTTTTAAATGACAGTATGAATTATGAAACTAGAATTTTCCTTAATAGTTTCCAATTTTTTCTCTTATGTGGATTTACACACAATAAATAAAGAAACAGGATAACAGAAACTCATAAAAGTATTTGTAATACTAAAGAAAACAATATGTGACGGGCATTTCGTATCTCTTACAACTTTCGATGGCAGCGTGAAGTTTTGAAATGTAGACGGCACAAAGGTGTCCGGGGGAGAGGACGGGAAGGGGAGGGGAACTTCAAGTGTTGACTTACCCTGGGGACAATGGACGTAAACTCCACTGAGACTGTCCAACAGAGATTATTTTAAAAGGACATTATTTGTTTAGATTAATATGCGTTTAGTATTTTTGTGCGCATGAATTTGGTAATAAACTGTAAGGAATATTATTAATTTTACTGTAGTAGCGTGTCTTCTTTTTTTTTTAACGTACTAGCTACTAGCGCAGCTTCGGAAAATATGAAAAAAATTATTAATATATTGATAGCAAATGGCAAACTTGCTTCCTTGAAGTTAGCATCAACTTATGGTCTCTTTCACACATTATGGTTTTTATCTAAAAAATTTACCCCCTAAGTTTAATGGCTTGAAAATATATAGCCTAAAGCGTGACGTATGTGTACGGCTTTTTAATACCAAAAAAATATTCAAAAATATGCTGTAATTGCCGACATTTTAGGCAACAAAGAAGTGTGTGTTTACGCTTTATTATAATAGTATAGAAGATAATTCTAATACCAGTTTCTCTTCAGATATATAAGAAAGAAATATTATAACTAATTATTGATAATATGGTGATAGTTTCATTAGAACATTTATTCTACGTTTCAAGCACTTTAATATTTGAAAGACCTTGTTAGAGAAAAAAATACGAGTAAGTTTTTAACAGTGGTAGAGCCTGCTTTAATATCTTCGCACGAATGGGTCGGCTCGCCCCCACCGATACCACGACCACACAGAAGACCGTCGTAAAGTGAAAGCAATTCCACTCTTCTTCTGATGAGTGTGGTGCCGAAAGCCGAACTTTAGTCCCTTTTCCTTCGTCCTTTTTGAACGTAGATTTGACGGTGCAGGAGACGCATAGGAAGGAGAAATATCCTCTTTATGGACGTCTCGTCCTCCTTCAACTAAGGGTATTCAACGTATCCGCTATTGAAAATGTCTATGGGCAGCGGTCGCTTCACCATTTTGGCGGATTAAGGTGGCCGCTTGCTCGTTTGCCACCTTGTTATATAAAAAAATAATGTTTTATTTGAAACATCGTTAATCTTTACATAGATAACAAATACTTTTACTCATTAAGGCTAAGCGTATACAAACTCGAGAAAATAAATCAATATGTTATTCAAATATTTGTTAATCTATTCGATTGAGTTACGCGGACACGGCGGTTGCACGCGTTTGTGTCT